AATGACCCACCCCCGTCCTGCCTCGCCCCACCTTAAACGGGACAGGGTGGGGAATTTCTTAGCGAAGTGGGGCGGGGAGGCCTCCCGCCCCGTTGCCATCCCTAATTGAGAACACCAGTCAAAATTACACAACACCAATTTTGGGCATAAACGGTATCACTCAGCCCCCGTTTGGCCTCCATTATTTCTTATTAAATTATGATTCATTTTTCTTTTTTTTCTTATCAATCACACATTCTCTAATAAAATAATATTATATGTAAACTCAAAAAAATTTCCTTATTTTTTAAATACACATTTTTCAAAAAATTACTATTCCTCTCATTATAATTTGAAATAATGGAGGCTAAGGCTAAACATGTGCTCAAAATAATTCAAACCGGGTTGGAAAAATCTCCCAAGCAGGCCTTAGGATGCCATGCTTTTCTATGGCGAGATTTTTCCAGTTGATCAAAAAATTGTGACACAAAATCCGATGTAGACAAAGTTTGTGACTATTAAAGAAAGTAGAGTCATCAATAAACGTCACAACAAGAACAAGGACCGTATTGGTGTTAGCTTTATTCCCTACCTAAAGCTCTACATCTGTTGGCCCACCACCACTATCGGTCCATCAACAAACAATTTGGAAATTCAGAATTCAAATTTCTTGTATAATCAGAATTTTTTGAATTTGATTCGATGTTTATAATGGTGATGGCACTAAGATCTAGAAATTGAATTTGAAATTTCTTACGAAAGCAGAAATTTTGGATTTGATTTGGTGTTACACAGGGACGGATTTGACAGTAGATTGCACTTGGCTGTAGCCCACTTTCGCGAAAGGCCAGATTCACTAAAAATGGATTTCTTACGAATCCGATGTAGACAAAATTTGTGACTATTAAAGAAAGTAGAGTCATCTATAAACGTCACAACAAGAACAAGGACCGTATTGGTGTTAGCTTTATTCCCTACCTAAAGCTCTACATCTGTTGGCCCACCACCACTATCGGTCCATCAACAAACAATTTGGAAATTCAGAATTCAAATTTCTTGTATAATCAGAATTTTTTGAATTTGATTCGATGTTTATAATGGTGATGGCACTAAGATCTAGAAATTGAATTTGAAATTTCTTACGAAAGCAGAAATTTTGGATTTGATTTGGTGTTACACAGGGACGGATTTGACAGTAGATTGCACTTGGCTGTAGCCCACTTTCGCGAAAGGCCAGATTCACTAAAAATGGATTTCTTACAAATCCGATGTAGACAAAATTTGTGACTATTAAAGAAAGTAGAGTCATCTATAAACGTCACAACAAGAACAAGGACCGTATTGGTGTTAGCTTTATTCCCTACCTAAAGCTCTACATCTGTTGGCCCACCACCACTATCGGTCCATCAACAAACAATTTGGAAATTCAGAATTCAAATTTCTTGTATAATCAGAATTTTTTGAATTTGATTCGATGTTTATAATGGTGATGGCACTAAGATCTAGAAATTGAATTTGAAATTTCTTACGAAAGCAGAAATTTTGGATTTGATTTGGTGTTACACAGGGACGGATTTGACAGTAGATTGCACTTGGCTGTAGCCCACTTTCGCGAAAGGCCAGATTCACTAAAAATGGATTTCTTACAAATCCGATGTAGACAAAATTTGTGACTATTAAAGAAAGTAGAGTCATCTATAAACGTCACAACAAGAACAAGGACCGTATTGGTGTTAGCTTTATTCCCTACCTAAAGCTCTACATCTGTTGGCCCACCACCACTATCGGTCCATCAACAAACAATTTGGAAATTCAGAATTCAAATTTCTTGTATAATCAGAATTTTTTGAATTTGATTCGATGTTTATAATGGTGATGGCACTAAGATCTAGAAATTGAATTTGAAATTTCTTACGAAAGCAGAAATTTTGGATTTGATTTGGTGTTACACAGGGACGGATTTGACAGTAGATTGCACTTGGCTGTAGCCCACTTTCGCGAAAGGCCAGATTCACTAAAAATGGATTTCTTACAAATCCGATGTAGACAAAATTTGTGACTATTAAAGAAAGTAGAGTCATCTATAAACGTCACAACAAGAACAAGGACCGTATTGGTGTTAGCTTTATTCCCTACCTAAAGCTCTACATCTGTTGGCCCACCACCACTATCGGTCCATCAACAAACAATTTGGAAATTCAGAATTCAAATTTCTTGTATAATCAGAATTTTTTGAATTTGATTCGATGTTTATAATGGTGATGGCACTAAGATCTAGAAATTGAATTTGAAATTTCTTACGAAAGCAGAAATTTTGGATTTGATTTGGTGTTACACAGGGACGGATTTGACAGTAGATTGCACTTGGCTGTAGCCCACTTTCGCGAAAGGCCAGATTCACTAAAAATGGATTTCTTACAAATCCGATGTAGACAAAATTTGTGACTATTAAAGAAAGTAGAGTCATCTATAAACGTCACANTTTTTTTTTTATCGTCAGATGGTGTTTTGTGTAGAGGTGGGATGGTGTTTGTGTGGTGGAAGACTTAATGATTTTGTTGGTGGGTAGTGGTTTAGTTGGCGGCAGCGACAAGGCTGGAAGTGGTGGTCAGTTTGTGGTGGGTAGTGGTTGCGACGACGGGGATCGTGGTGGATCCTCGCCGTTGTCGAAGCATCCCGCCACAGGAATCGGGCCGTCGCCACCACTTAAGCAGCACCGTGCTGCTTAATGAACAGATCAAAGCTTCTGCGCGTGGAAGTGCAGGGGCGGCGATCAAAAATCTTCTCCGATTTGGGGTATTTCTCCGATAATTTTCTGTGGCTCATGGTTTGCACGGTAGCGACGGTGGTATGGCTTGGAGATGGCGACGCTGTGAACGTCGCTGCATGTGGCTCTGCTTGATTTTTTTTTTGATCATCGGATGGTGTTTTGTGTGGAGGTGGGATGGTGTTTGTGTGGTGGCGGACTAAATGATTTTGTTGGTGGGGATAGTGGTTTAGCTGGCGGTGGCGACATGGTTGGAGGTGGTTGCGAGTTTGTGGTGGGTAGTGGTTGAGGCGACGGGGTGATGTCTCTGTTGTTGTTGGCAACGGGGATGGTGGTGGATCTGGTGGGTTTATGATTTTTTGTTGGATCTGATGGTGACAGTTTTGTTGGTGGTGATATTGTGGTGTTGGTGTTAGTGGTAGTGCTGTTGTGGTGGCGGCGACAGTGTGGTGGTTGTTGGTGGTTGGAAATTTGATAGAGTTGATTGTCATGATTTTGTTAGCGATTGATTGGATTTGGTGACGGCGATTTTGTTGGTGGTGACGTCGTAGTGGTGGTGGTGCTGTGTAGGCGGCGACGGCGTAGGTGGTGCTCGTATGTGACCCACTATTTGGTTACTTGTGACCAATTGTTTAACTGTGACCTTAAAATTTGATAATTTGTGACCAACTAATTTGAAAATACGTGGCTGATTGATAAATTGTGATCCATAATTTTTTTATCCGTGATCAATAAAATAAACCATGACCTTAAAATTCGATAATTTGCAACCAATAAATTTGAAAATATGTGACTTATTGATAAATTGTGACCTTTTGTTATCTGTGACCAATAAAATAAAATGTGATATGTAAAATTTTTTATTTGTGATCTCGAATTTATCTGTGACCAATTAATTATTTAATACGTGATCTATAAATAAATCGTGACCTATGATTATGTACTTGATTTTTGCATCAATTAAACTTAAAAACTGATTTTTGAATTGTGCGTAGTTAATGCCTTAATTATGGATTTTTTACTGTACGAAACCCAACCCGGAAGCCCAAATATTTGGGCCTCAATAGAATAAAGATAGGGAAAAATTTATATATACATCAATACAAAATATTAATTCAGATTTTACTATGACAACATCTTATTCATTAAAAATACTGGATTGATGATTAAAAATGATTGAAATACTACCTGCCAAAATTAGATACCAAACAAGAAATTGTAACTGATTACATTTTAATACCCCCCTTATCACGTCATTTCTTTTGCTAACTTTCCATGACAAACTAATTTAATAGCAAATAGGCAATCAAGTTTTTACACAGACAATCATCTCAATTGCTCATCCCGGTCAGTAGAATACTACACCTTCCAAAACGAA